TGGGTCATAGAGGATCCTGCTGTGGTTTATGTCGGAGAGTGTTTTGCCTATGTTCTCTAGGAGTTTTATAGTTTCTGGTCTTACATTTAGATCTTTAATCCATTTTGAGTTTATTTTTGTGTAAGGTGTTAGAAAGTGTTCTAGTTTCATTCTTTTACAGGTGGTTGACCAGTTTTCCCAGCACCACTTGTTAAAGAGGTTGTCTTTTTTCCATTGTATATCCTTGCCTCCTTGATGTTAGATCTTAATAGAATCAATTTTCATCCAACCACCTTTCTACTCCCTAGAAACTCAGGACAGGAGGTTTACATTGTGTTCCTTTCCATCTGCCTAGTCTTGTTTTTCTACCTTTTTGTTCAGGTTGAGAAATGTGTTCTTGTGTTAATCATCAAGACAGACCCTACTTAGTATAAACCCACATATCTTTTCCTGAGCATGCTGTCTGTGCATGACCTGAAGTCTAGCACTGTAATCCTTCCCTTAATTATCACTCTCTTCCAGGTCAGTGACAGAGATCAATTTAAAAACTTATCTTACTTAGATATCATACATCCACTATGAGACCACAGAAAGACAATGATGATTACCCATGAGAAAGCATAACAAAAAGCAAAAGCAAAATAGTTGAGTTGCAAGACAGGGAAGGATATATTGCACAAGTGGAGAAGTTGACAGTCCATTCATAGTAGCAGCAAGTCAGTAGTAACACATGAGCTCAGAAGCAGATAGACATGTTGATAAACATGTTGATGGGATCTTCTCTTGCTTCTTTTTTCTCAGTGAAAGTGGAATCTAGTTTATCATCTAAGAGTGGAGTTAGGGGAAGTGTGACAGAGGTTTGGATTAAAAGAATACAGGGAATAATTTCGAGGAGACTGAGAAATTGAAAGACTTCAAAATTAAATGTAGTATTAGGGGCCCACTTGCTATAGTGAATATGAATTCAAAGTAAGACCAGTCACTTGGTTGTAGAAGATATTTTTCTCTAGCCATCTTTTTAGAAAAGTGTATGCTTGAGATTTCTGTTATAGAAATAAGCCAAAGATTGCCTCTGTACATGGGCCTCTCTGACCTAGGGACCGTTCATGTAAGAGGCTATGAGATTGGTGTCCCCATGGTTATTTAGATCACAACCTGTGTGATTGTATGCTGAACATCTGGACTGGCATCACAGTCATTTAAAAATATTTACCAGTATGATTAATGAGAAAGTGGAAGAATACAAATTGCTATAGAAATATAACATATAAATGTAATTTAGTATAAAAGAATAGTACTTATTGAAGCAGTGACATTCCATCATAACCTTAAAATGAATAGGAAATGAAAAGGCCTAGGGAAGTATCAAACATTGAAGCAGAAACATGAATCAGAATCTTAAAGGAGTCAGTGAAAGAAAGTCTGGACCCGTTGAGACTCAGGGAAACTTAAAGAAGAGCTGTCTAGCAGAAAGTGATGCCAAGAACCAACAAGACTATAAAGGTTCTTGTTGGTCCTTTGGGATGCTGTCAATTATAATCCATGGAAGTTGTAGACTTTAATTCAGGCATGCTTCAGTTTTAAATCTTAGTCATATAGTGATTAAGTAAATAAAATGTGGAGCTAGAGATATCTGGATTCAGTTCCTAAAATCGCCCTTCATTTGCTGCAAAAATTTTACTTAAATCATTTAATCTAATGGTCTCACTGCTTCCTTGACTTTTTAGTAGTAATTTCCTATTTACAAAGGTTGTTTTGAAGATCAATGAAAGAAGGGATTTTTAGCATTAAACATAGGACCAGAAAGGGATGACTTCTCAGTATATGAACATAATACTTTCTTATGGTTCTGAGGTTTCCTCATATTTTCCCATAAATATATTTCATATCAAAGCACTCAGCAAACCTTTGGGAAATAATAATATCCTTATTTGTTATCTTAAGGAATAGTTAATATTAATTAGAGTAATTTAAGTCTTTTAATTTGGGAAAAGGCCCCATATCCTGGAGGACTATTGATTCCCCTGCCACCTACACTGTTGAATCCAGTGGGATTTGATGCTGGGTATAATCCAGCTAATATTCAATGAGCACACTTCTTAGCACCTGCTCTCATGCAAGATGACTGGATTACTCTGAACTTCTAATTTGGGTGAGTTGATAGAGATACAGGACAGAAAAAGAGAGAAGGCAGCTACATTCAAACATCTGCATTTAAATTATGAGATCCTCAAAAAGTAATGTCCATCTCTTAAAAAATATCCTTAGTAAAGTTAAGAGTAAATCTTGTAGACATGTAAAACACTAAGAAGGTGTAGTGAACTCTGTTGATTATCTAAAGTATATGGAGCACATGGTCATAGATACTCCAAATAAAAGTTAAAGTAGCATTAAACTCCTTGACCAGGATAAGCTTTGAGGTCAGATTTCACTCTGAGCAAGGAAGAGCCATGTTCCTCCCAGTCAACATTAGATGTTAATCAGTCATGGCAAATGTTTGTGAGAGGAAGAATATTACTTTTGACCTAGATACTGCAAGAACAGTGGTTTGCAAAAGGAAGTTAATAAAAAGGAGGGGGAGGAACATTGCAATCAGAGAAGTATGTGAAACAGGCACAGTTTCACAAAGAAGCATGTTGTATTTGGGGAATAGTTAGAAGTTAGTTGTTACCCCCATGGGAGGTATAGAAATAATATCTTAAAATGCTCTGTGTAAGATAATATGCTAATTTGTTAACATGCATTAACAGCATTTCATTTTCTCCACTTTACAGTTGAGGAAACCAAGAGAAAGATATAATCAGTGTATGTGCTGTGCTGTGTGCTTAGTTGCTCAGTCATGTCTGATTCTTTGTGACCCCGTGGACTGTAGCCCACCAGGCTCCTCTGTCCATGGGGATTCTCCAGGCAGGAATGCTGGAATGGATTGCCATTGCCTCCTCCAAGGGATCTTCCCACCCCAGGGATCAAACCCAGGTCTCCCGCATTGCAGGCGGATTTTTTACCATCTGAGCCACCAGGGAAGCCCATAATTAGTATATAGAACACAACTAAAAGTTTTTATGGAAATACATGCATTTAATAAAAGGGCATAGGAAGAACCTGTGATAGGAATGAAAAGAATCAGATGGGGAAAAAAAGATGAAAACAAATTATACCATTACTTATGATAAGTGATACATTTCAAGATTTATTGGACTTTATTTCTTCTGAGTCAAATATCATGGTCATTTAAAGTATTATGTAAATGATCATTTACAGAGCTCAGGTCAGGCTGGAAAGTTTTTCAGAAGACACTGGGAATATTTCTAATACAATGTATAGTCAGTTTAACAAGGTCTATGTTCCTCCCAAAATGCTGGATAATGTAAGTCATATTCCAGTTTTGATGGCACTTGATCAGACTATAAATTACAGTGGAGTAAATAGGACTCAATATTTGTAATTATATTTATCTCAACAGATCCATTTCTAATTTATGGATATTATGTAGAGTATATTAGAATGGTTAAACACAATTTTCTAGGATGACAAAAAGAATCTTGTTATTGGTCTATTCTTATTTCAAAATTAGATTTCATTTGCTTCATTGTAGATATAGAATAAATACCTTTAAAATCGATAGACAATAATCATTTAATTCAGGGTGGAATACTGATAGATGCTTAATAATAATAAAAGAAACACAGTGGTTATTTAAAGTAATATCTAAAATAATACTCTATAGATTATCAAGTTTAAATGAAAAAGGCAAATGTTGAAACACTCCCTCGAAAGTGTCTTAACAAATATGACTTTAAAATTATGAAAACTCTTTGTTGGTTGTATTTTACTATCACTTAACATCTGTGACAGCAAATACTGATTTTGGTGTAATGGAAATAATGTGAACTTTGCAGTCATGCAGAGTTATGTTAGAATTCTGATGTCTCAGCCATTCTTTCTGTGAGGCCATTGCATTATCTATAACACTCTGGGGTACTATGTTTTAATTGATACAATTTGAAAAATATGTTATTTAGCTTACATTGATTTTCCAACTACAAATGAACATATACAAAGATTCCAGGAAAATATATATATATTTTTTTTCATGTTAGGATCACTAAGTTTTACTTTCTTTCCTTACTTCATTTAAACAATGGTAGTAACTGAAATCACACTAATAATGTATGAATCAAAAGTGGTACCAAGTGCATGGATCTTTGTAGTGATTAGTATATTCAGATATCAAAGTAAGAAACAAGGCATATTGGGGGATCTACAGAAGAGTTAAGGTAGAAAGTTAGGATTTTTGAAAATTAAGCTTAAAATAAACAGGTATGTCAATTGGGACTATTTCACTGAAAAGGAGAGAACTTAATGAAGGTATGACTGTTAAAGCTCAAATTTTGTGAAGACTTTTATGCCCAAAACAGATAAATCTGTAGAGCTCCATGGAAAGGGCAGTACTGTTTCACACCTCCTGAGGATAGGTTCTGTGACAGTACAAAGGAGCATATGTAATGGACTAGGAAATGAGTAATCATACCTGAGAATATGTACTCTCAGAGAGTACTTCAGACATGTCCTAGAATATTATATCTCAGAATGATATTAAGAAGAAAGTTGGGTTAGATGATTTCTAAGATCCTTTCCGTTTATAATGCCTGATATTGTTTATCAAAAGATGATTTGACTTAAGTTGAAAGCAAATTGTGAATTTAAAAAGTAGTATTGAATTTTACTATACATAGATTGTTAAAAGATTTAGAGTTTGTTTTGTTCTTAAATGTCTGAGATTCATGACTTGATTTAGGATTAGTACTTTGTGTCTTGTTGCAAGGTTTTTATTTTAGTAACTAGTGTTACTAAATTTTTTCACCCTGAAGTGTACTCTTGGATGTTTTCTAATGTGATGCTTTCGGATCTTCCAGACTTGTTTTTCATTTGTTGCCAGATTTGGTTGTGATGATCTTGGCACAAAGCTTTTGCCGTAAAAAGGAGGATTCTATCAGCAAGAGACAGAAAGCAACAGAGCAATGGGACCAGCCAATAAATCCCAAACATCTCCAGACACTTTCTTGCTGATGGGCATCCCAGGACTGGAGCACCTGCATGTCTGGATTGGGATTCCCTTCTGCTCCATGTATGTGGTGGCGGTGGTGGGGAATATGACCATTCTGGCCGTGGTGAGGACAGAGCAAAGCCTCCACGAGCCTGTGTTCCTCTTTTTGTGCATGCTCTCAGTCACTGACCTGGTCCTCTCCACATCTACCCTTCCTCGCATGCTCTGTCTCTTCTGGCTTGGAGCCCATGACATTGCCTTTGATGCCTGCCTGACCCAAATGTTCTTCATTCATAGTTTTACTGCTATGGAATCAGGCTTCTTTTTTTCCATGGCTGTTGACCATTATGTGGCCATTTGTCATCCACTGCGCCACCCCACCATTCTTACCCACACTCTCATCGCCAAAATGGGAGCTTCTGTGGTCCTGCGGGGAGTGGCCTTCTTTTCCCCACATCCTATGCTGCTCAGACAGCTGCCCTATTGCAGGACTCGAATCATTGCCCACACCTACTGTGAGTTCATGGCTGTGGTGAAGATGGCGTGTGTGGACACAGGGCCCACCAAGCGTTACAGCCTCAGTGTGGCCTCTGTCATTGGTTCCTGTGATGGGTTATTCATTGCTGTGTCTTATATCCTAATCCTTTGTGCAGTCTTTCGTCTTCCATCGCGGGAAGCAAGTCTTAAAGCTCTAGGCACTTGTGGCTCCCACGTCTGTGTCATTCTTGTTTTCTATTCCACAGCTGTCTTTGCTTTCCTCACTCACTGTTTTGGCCACAATGTGGCCCCCCAAATTCATATCTTCATTGCCAATATATACCTTCTGGTATCACCTTTTCTTAACCCCATTGTTTATGGTATAAGGACCAAGAAAATTCGAGACCATGTTCTTAGTTCTCTAATGGTAAAGGTTGCTTGATTATACTGAAATTGTTTGCACAGATGTATAAGGATAAGGAGGGAAGAATATAAATGACTTATCCCATTTTCATAACTGACATGATGTCTTTTTCCACTGGTATCAGACATCTTATCAGATTTTAATGGGGAATAATGACCATACATGATATAAATTTCTTAATTCTAATTAAACTAGTACATTTAATATATTCTGTGTGCCTTTGAATTTTGGGGAGCTTACTTAGAACCTGATGAACTTAAAGGGACTCTCCTCTTTTTATGCTGCTGGTGATCATTTATAGCGTTATCTGGGGTAGTAGTTTATTTTCAAATAGGGAATGATTTTAAAAGGAAGGAAATCCATGAGAACCTCAAAGAATTCCACATAAAGTATAGGCAATTGAAAAATTAATGATGACTGTAACTATCCATAGAAGAGGCAATATATCAGGGTTGGTGTCCTCTGAATACAACAAGTAATTGTGTTTTATTCCTACAAATTGACAAACTGGACAAGTTGTCAAATAGAAATGTGGAAAAGTTCAACATTGCTATAAATAATCAAGTTCACAGATCTGTAAACACTGTATTGCTCAGAGTATTCTCTCTCCACCAAGAGTAACATGTGTCTGCAATTATTTTGTTACCTGAACCAGCATGGGATCTCTAAACCTTTATCCTGAAAACAAAAATCGCTTTATGCTTGATGTTACATACTTGGGAGTTTGCCCAGGGCATAGGCAGCCCACTGAGCTAGATTCAAGTATGCTGGTATTTATATGTAATAAGTCCTTGTTCAGGGATGAAGTCTATCATTACAAATAATTTAAATTTTTAGTGATAATGCTACTGCTGACATTGAAAATGAAATTATTAAAAAGAATATAAATATTTTACCAGAAAAAATCAAATATTTGTTACTTTTCATTCCTTCACTTCTTGGCTTATACAAAATGGAAATTACTCTAGAGGTGTAACTGAGCAGTACCTTGTGAGGCCTTCTGGGGTAGACCCTCCCCCCATATCCTCTACTTTGGCTCCTCTCAGAAGTACCGAGATAACAGTATCTAATGCACATTTCCTGAGTTGCTTTACTGATGTTAAAACCCCCACCAAATGGAAGAAATTAACTACTTGATGACCACAGGCATTAGCTTCCAGACCTACCAGAGCCTGAGGACTGATGTTAACCCTTGTGACACTGCCCCATTACCTCACCATCAAGTAATGAGAGAATTGCGCATGAGCTAACCAAGATCCCTGCAGCTTCTCTCCCTCATCTTGCCTTTTAAAAATGGTCTGCAGAAACCCACTGGGGAGTTTTGAATGTTAACTATCCAAGACTCCTTGTTTGGTGCCCTACAATAAATGCTTTCTTCATCACAACCTGGCCTCTGTAGATTGGCTTTACTGCTTGTGTGTAAGCAGACTGTAGTTTGGTTTGGTAACAGAGGTACTTAGAGTTACATGCTGGACTTCCCTGATCTGGTTTCTCTGTGTGATTTACTACTTTTAAAGTATTATTTGTACTTTTTTTTCTTTTTTCACTATTTTCCATCTCTTTAGTCTCAGAGCTTCACAGAGGTTAACATCTAAGTTCTCCATTCCTCTTTGACTCTATTAAATGCCATTGTTTAAGCTTTTATCATTTCCATTATGACATTTCAAGTTTCCACTGGTATCTTCAAGGAACTAATTTTTGATTACTATGTTCAGTACATTCTCTGCATTGAGACCATAGTTATTCTCCTAACAATTTAAAACAAACAAACGAGTAATTGTGTCATACCCATGGAAGCTCCAGGATGGCAAAGCAGAGCTTTATGAATTACCTTTTCTACTGTTTCTCTTATCCTTCTTATATATTGCTTATACTCTTTATACTATTCATTAAAATTCTCACTTTTATTCAAACAGTAGTTCTCTTCATATCTTGTGTTTTTGCTTAGAATGTTTCTCTCTGTCCCATCCTCTTTCTTACCTGGAGAGTGTTCAGTTTTCCTTCAAGATACAGCTCCTGTTTAAACTCCTCAGAAAGATTGTTTCCTTGAATCAAACTAAACAGAAATCCTATCATTACTGTAAAAAATGAAATGATATGTTGTACTTCTGCCACTTCAACTCACAGTATAGTTAGAGGTTAAGTGCATTGATTGTAGAATGAGAGTACCTGGGTTCATGTTTCAGCTTTACCACTTGCCATCTTCATGTACCCAGGCACTTTGCTAAAATTTTCTGGGCTTTGTTTTCATAATAAAACAGGGTCATGACATTTCCTTCTCCATAAAGTTTTAAGGATTGAATGAGTGGAAGTATGTAAGATACATTAAATAGTACCACACAGTAAGCTTTTAATAAACATACATTCGTTAACATTGTGGATTATACAGACATGTATAATTTTTGTATATTGAATGCCTGACTTTTTGAGACATATATGTCTCATTTAAATATATGAATATATACATATACACACACATACACACATATATATGCTTCCCTAGTGGCTCAGTGGTAAAAATACAGGAGATGTGGGTTCAATTCCTGGGTCAGGAAGATCCCCTAGAGAAGGAAATGGCAACCCACTCCAGGATTCTTGCCTGGGAAATCCCATGGACAGAGGAGCCTGGTGGGCTACAGTCCATGGGGTTGTAAAAGAGTCCAACATAATTTAGCAACTAAAACAACTGCAACATACACACACATACATGTGATTTAAATTATATAATTATCACCATAATCATCAGAATGTTAGTCTGATTTCACAAATGAGGAATTTAGACTTAGAGAGATTAAGTAATTTTCTCAACATCACCTGTTGATAAGGTGGTGAAGTATATATTTTTAAAAAAAATGAAAGTAGTTAATCCCATGGTTAAAGACTGTCCTTTATTTACTTTTTATCTCTAACACCTCTCAGTGTCCTATGACCATGTGTGTTCAATGAATGCTTCAGAATCAATGAAGCCATAAGATGTTGAATTCATTTGTCATATTTCAGAGCTCCTAGTTTTGTGATAGTTATAATTAAAGAACTGAATTAAAAACATAAAGATAGGTTTTAGTGATATTTTTGTAAGATAATGGAGAAAAATTCAATGACAAAAGGGATAGATTCCCTAAGAGAATCTCTAGGGAAATTTACTCTTTAAGGCTATTTGTGATTATGTTGGATGTTTCCAGAAGGTAAATTGCAAAGTCTGGACCTTCAAGCTGTATTTTTTAATTAAATTTTGTAGTATGATAGATAGATCATTGAATCTAATTAAAATATAATTCCTGATGAGGTAATATATTTTTATATGTTAAACAAGGTTGTTTATATGTTAGATTAGGAAATATGAACTAAGCAGTTAGCTTTTATAGGTTATCTACCAATGGCTCTCAAATTGCAAATGTTCAACAGTAATTGAAAGAAGAAAGGAACAGGCTGAACTGACTCCATCTTGAAAAAGAGGGAAATTCCATCTTGCACTTTCAGTGAACTTTGGACGACATGCCTGGTAACCATGGGGATAGCATACCTGTGGCTGAACTGGCCTCCCGGACTGATCAACACCAGATTCCATACCAAGATTTCCCATCGCCAAAAAGAATATAATAATCCCCTATGTAGTCAATCACCTTTGTAATCTTTATGGTTCCCATTGGTGTAGGCTACAGTGTATAACCAGCTGACACTTCCGACTGTGAATCATGGCTGTAACTGATTGTATCACCCTTTAACACTTTCCAGCCTAGTTTTAAGGAATTTGGGGATGTGGACTTGTGCACTACACTTAAGGTATATAAGGTTTTCACAAAAGTCAGTCGGGGTCCCTGGCTAAAGAGGAGACTCTGCCTTAAACCCACCAGTGTAATAAACTGTACTGCACTATCCACACTGTCCTTCTGAGTGAGTTTGTTTCCTGGAGCATTTGTCTATAACATAATAACAACCACACAACTATATAGCCAAGATCCCTGCATTAAATTCTAGTCAATGGGGAGAAGGTATAAAACTTATTCATATATTCATACAACAAAAGAGTATTTATGCAGTGGCTAAAATGTGCCAGGTTGTGATAGATTCTAATGAGAGGTGAGCAAAAAAGAAATCCATATGTCAGGGGGTTTATATTCTGTTTGAGGTGACATGACTTAAGTAAGTGATGTTCAAATGCATAGCTACATTGGATATAAAGTGCTATCAAGTAGAAACATGGACTTTTATAAAGGCAACTAACATCAGTTTTGATCTGGTCTAGGGGAATCAAGGAAAGTTTCCTTTAAAAAGACATTTATGTGAGTATTTAATGGGAGATAACTAGCTGAGAGAAGCAAGAGAAAACGTGGGGGTGGTGGTAAAGGGGAAGAGAACAGTATATGTGAACATGTGTGGATTTAAAGTAGATTTTTAGATAAATATTTAGGTAGG